TGCTCGACCCCACGAACTGTGAGACCATGACCTGGGCCAAGATCAACAGTCGGATGCTTAACTGACTGATCTACCCAGGTGCCTTCTTAGTCTATACATTTCACGGTATATCTGGAAGATTTTGTCATTTTGTTATATCCACTAGGCTTTGTGAAAACTCAAGTGAAAAAGGGAATATTGGGAATCTTCAAATGAAACATTATCTGGCAATAACAAGGAAAACAAATAGCCATTTCTCTAAAGCCATTCTGGGTGGGAGGTTCTGTCACTGGCCTTCCTTCCCTGTTGTGGTTCCCTGACAAATCTTGGAATAAACTTTTAACCAGGATTCCCACTGTAATCCTATAACCTGAGGACAAAATCAATGTTACCTGAAGAATAGTACTTGTTTTGTAGTAGGAGACCACGGGCAGGGGCCAGTTACAGTTTGGAGGAAACACACATGAAGCCCTTACTGTGTTCTGAATCAATTCCCACTCCTTCCTGCCCATTCTTGTTGCCTTACCTTCTCTGCTTCCCCGAATTCTCTGGTCCTGTGAAGCTCCTCTTTGACTGTATGTTTAAGACAGAGGAGGAAGCTATGATAAGCACCATTTCACTCTTAGCAGAAAGAATTGCCCTCCAATGACAAAGCCTCTACTGTTTCATTCTGGATTGCCTGTGGGAAATGTGAAAAGTTCAAGCCACATGAAGCAATCATAGCTCTGGCAGAGCCAAGGGGCTGGCAGCTTTCATTGCCGAATCAGGGTCTTTGGATACCAGCTGGATATTTCCCAACCTGTATTTTTTTTCAATAGTGGGTACCCAAAAAATACGCAGCAATTTCTCAGCTATACACAACTATGTTCGTGAACTAAGAAATCACCATGTAATTTTGTTTAAAAGCCTGGTCTCTTGTGACTGTACTTTGAAGCTCTCGTTTGGGGATGAGAAAGAACTGCCCCTTTTAGAAAGACACAATTTTGTTAGCCTGGATTGTTCTAAAATGGAGATGAACCATCAGATAAAAGATAGGGGGCACTGACCAAGAAAAGAGATGCCATTACCCAGGAGGAAGTCAGGGGAAGGTGGATTGAGGGAGAAGGACAAGGCCGAGAGGGTCTTCATTTTGTGGTCTTAGATTTTTTTTTAGCTGTAAGGCAGAGATAAAATGCAGGGCTTGACATCTCAGAGCAGCAGGTGAAATAAAATGGGAGAAATTTAAAATGGCTTCTCCCTCAAAAGGAGGGAGAAAACAGAAAATTCTCAGAATTGACAGAAGGTTATATGTATAATGCACTGGTCAGACCGAGACCCATGGTATTAAACAAGTAAGAGAAAGAACAGTCTTATGTGTGCTGCTCTGAAATAAACCTTAATCATACATGAGCTTGAGTACAAGTCCTTCCTTCTAACCTGTAGCTCAGATACACTACGTATGCCTTACTCTAACTTGCAGATCTCATGGTCACAGTGCAAGATGGAATACTAAATGTGCTATTAATTCATCCATTATATTTTTCTAGAAAATACACTGATTAAATCTTCTGCTACCATGTGCTTTTCTCTGGCCATCCATACCTGAGTACCACCCACCTGTGAGGCCAGTGCGTTTCTACCGCCTCCACCAATAGGTTTAAGGATAGATTGATGGCATTTCCATTTATTCACTCTGATTGAGTGATGTACATCCACCGTTGTGATAAGTTCAGAAGGCTCACAAAATGAAAAGTGTGTGTGTTCCTAGAACTCAATTTGACAGTGACACCTGACCTGAGCTGATGTGAGGCCATTTAGAGTCTCTGTCCCATCTAATACAACTCTGTATGTGTTTTGCAATAGAAATACTAACGTATCTGATGATAGGAAGCTTCCCTATGCTCCAAGGATTTCAGACAATGAGAATATATACACCTATGTTGATTTTCCAGAGAATCCGAGAGGTAGTTTTAGGAAGAGAGGTATTACAAATGTTTGCAATGCAAACATCTCATTTTAAAAGGCATCATGTGAAAAAGTAAACAACGAACACAAACCTCTGTACCCAATTGATTCCAACTCTCCCTTACCATCGTTGGTTTTTTCTTTTTTTTACATTTTACTATTCTAGGATGAATCCTCCATGTTCTTCCAGTTTGGCCCATCAATTGAGCAGCAAGCTTCCGTAATGCTCAACATCATGGAAGAGTATGACTGGTACATCTTTTCTATCGTCACCACCTACTTCCCTGGCTACCAGGACTTTGTAAACAAGATTCGCAGCACCATCGAGAACAGCTTCGTGGGCTGGGAGTTAGAGGAAGTCCTCCTGCTGGACATGTCCCTGGATGATGGAGATTCTAAGATCCAGAACCAGCTCAAGAAACTTCAAAGCCCCATCATTCTTCTTTATTGTACAAAGGAAGAAGCCACTTATATCTTTGAAGTAGCTAACTCAGTAGGGCTGACTGGATACGGCTACACGTGGATTGTGCCTAGTCTGGTGGCAGGGGATACAGACACAGTGCCCTCGGAGTTCCCCACTGGGCTCATCTCTGTGTCCTATGATGAATGGGACTATGGCCTCCCTGCCAGAGTGAGGGATGGAATTGCCATAATCACCACCGCTGCTTCCGATATGCTGTCTGAACACAGCTTCATCCCTGAGCCCAAGAGCAGTTGTTACAACACCCATGAGAAGAGAATCTACCAGTCCAACATGCTGAATAGGTGAGTGTGGAACACTGATGGTAGAGGTCCGAGGAGGGCTTTTAGGACTGGGGTTGGAGGAGGTTCTGAAACTATGGGAAGGGCAGTTCAAGATGTCAGAGGTTGAAGGCTGGCCACTGGGATGGCCATGGCTTGTGATGGTGGGAGTGTTTCAGATCCAAAGCTCGCTGTGCTGGGTTCCTGTTCTAAGAAATACAACATGGTTCCCACTTATTGTTCACTTACCGTGTGCTAGGTGTTCCTCTAAGTGTTTATGGGTGTTTGACCTCCTTAACCTCAAAGCAATACTCTATTAGGCAGGTGTTAAGAGCCGTTTCCATTTTATGATACAAGAGAATAAGGTTCGTAGGAGTATACTGTCCATGGTCACTCTGCAAGTAAGGGGTTCAGTTTGGAGCTGTACACGGACCTCTGTGGGCCCTGCGTACTTGATCACTATAAAAGACACCATGCACGTAGGCATGAGGACCTACCAATCCCCTTACCTTAGAAATGATGCTGTACCGGGAAGGAATGGAGAACAGGTGACGTGGGTCTGTAGGCACATGAAGAGGGTTCTTTCCTTGGATTTTGTCTCCTGCGCTTCTCCTCTCTGCCCTTAAGCATGAAGGTGGTGCTGTAGAGGCAGCTTCCATAGTTGCTCTTAGTCTGATTTCTTCAGTAGGAAGAAGATCTAGGTGGAGTTCGGCTCCCCTGACCTCACCTTCTAATCCAGCCACGCCTCCAACACATCCTCCTGCGGGTATTGTGTGACCATGAAGGGCAGAAGATTCTATACTAGGCTTCTGTAGTTCTGTGATTTGTATAAAACTGCTACACAAGAACATTGTCAAAACTCAAACAATGCAGAAGAGCCCAGAAGAGAAAGAAAAAATGACCTTCGCTACAACCAACCAGAGAGAATCATTGTAGAAATAATTAGTGAACATCTTTCTAGGTATTTCCCTGTGCGTGTATGCCTACATCCATATAAATCTATAATTTTACATAAATGGAAATATAACTACCCCTGCTGTTTGATGACCCGGCTTTCTTTTACTCAACAGTATGTTTTGGGCATCCGTTTTAAATTCGTTATGAATTCCATCCAACAAATAGAAACGTATGCAGAAAACACCTATTCGGATACCATTCAGCTTACATAAAATACCAAAGTATACTCTGGGAAGGTTGAAATACATTTAGTGGAGGTTGAAGGTGTACCTACTAGTTTAACCTCTGGAAGGGAGCTGGACTAAAGCCTCTGAGCTAAGCTGTTAACTCAGAGTTGAAACTAAAGCTACTTTTAATGCAATCTGTGATCCAGTCCTAATATTATCCCACCTTCATCTATGCTTTCTGCCATCCCTAGTTGTCACTGCTTATTTGATGCAGACTGTCTTGATTTTCTTCCGACCTCTCTAGTCTTTCCGTTCCAGGTCCTTGGCAGGCTCTTCTTCAATGTTGGTGCTTCTCAGGGTTTGTCCTAGACCCTCCTTTTCTGTCCTCCATTGCCAAGTATACAACTAATGTAAGTTCTCCCAAATGACCTCTCTGGCTGAAACCTCTCCCTTGAGCCCCCAGTCTGTATTGCCAACTGTGAGTGGATATGTTCCTTTGGATGCCATGGAGCCTTAGAACATACCATATGCAAAGCTGAACTGCTTTCTCTCCTGTTACTCTTCCATCTTCTTGCAGACAAATCGGTACACCTACAAAGGGTACGTCCCAGTACCCGGTTAGCTAACATAAAAATTCCAAAGGTGTCCTGGCTTTCACATTCCCGCCATCTCCTTGCTGACCATGTCCTTCCCCACAGATCTCCTCTGGAGTGCTCTCGCTGTCTGCATCCCTGCGCCACGTCCCAGTTCGGCTCTTCTTACCTGCATTGCTGCAGGGCCTCGTAAATATCTTCTGGCTCCCAGTACTGCTTCCTTCCAATCTACACCGCACCCAGAGTGATCTAAAATGAAAATGTGATTTCATCAGTCTCCTGCATAATGCCTTTCAACGGCTTTTCATTGCTCCTGTAATAAAGTCCCATCTCCTTGATATGGTTTACAAAGTCCTCCACTGTACAGGCCTGCCTGTCTTTCCAAAATTGTCTCGTGCCATGCTGTCCCTCAAACACTCCATTCCTGCAATACTGAACCTGCTTTAGTTCTTTGAAAATGCCATGTTCTTTCTCTTGCTTCTAGCTCTCTTCTCTGCCTTGAATATATTCCCCAGAAGCCCCTTCCCACCAGAACATAAATGCAGAAGCTTCTTCACCTGCCTCATTTTCATTCCCTAGGCTTCGGTCCTGACATCACTTTCATGGAGGCAGCTTTCCTGGACCCTGGACTAATGGGGCCCTGTTACCTGCCTTCAGTGTAACTTTTGTTTCCCCCAATACAGCCAGTTCCATTTCTTCCAACAGTTCTAGTTCTATGCTTTGTTATATGTTGTCCCTGTAAGTTCTGTGAAAGCAGTGACCTTTCTGTCCTTAGTTCCACGTCCCCCCACTCTTAGTGTCCTATGTGGCAGAGGGAAGAAGGACACCTGGAGTTCACGAATGACCTCCTCCAAGATGCTGAGCTGCCTAGTGCATACCTATTCCACAGGACCTTTCTTGTTCTGCTCCTCTCTGCGAGATCATGGAGATTTCCTTTAAAACCTTACTGTTTATTCATGGGACACCTGGGTATCTTAGGTGGTTAAGCGTCTGACTCTTGATCTCCGCTCAGGTCATGATCTCATGGTTCATGAGTTCAAGCCCTGCATCGGGCCTCGTGCTGACAGTGTGGAGCCTGCTTGGGATTCTCTCTCCCTTCTCTTTCTGCCCCTACTCTGTTGATGTTCTCTTTGTCTCTCGCTCTCTCTCTCGCTCTCTCTCTCTTGCTCTCTCACTCTCTTCTCTCTCTCTCTTTCATTCTCTCTCAATAAAGAAATAAATAAATTCCTAAAGATTAAAAAAAACTTACTATTTATTCAGTTCTCTACATTCATGTTTTCTCCTGCTGTCTTTAGTGTTAAGTTAAAATCTGATGCAGATCACCAAATATTTGTTCATTAAAACCAATGCTAACAAGGAAAAATATTTAGGCCAAAATGTCTGCCAAACCACACAAGGAAATCAAATGGATGTTAAAGTCCATAAACTTTGGTTCAGGAATGCCTGCTTTGATCTTAAAACTCCTCTGGGTACACAGTCATCTGCGGATATTATCATTTCCCCTTTGGCTTACTTTACGTTAGAATGCAAGCAGTCTCTCTGAAGTTTGGTCTCTGACCACTGCACCTTTAAGAGTCATGCTTGGTTCTAACTTTTGTTACCGTGTCTTGTGGCCGCTCAGAAAGGGAGCCCTCCTCAGTCCTCTCTTCTCCTTCCTCAGATATTCTTGTCAAGATGGCCACGAATACCCGCCTCCATCTTTGAAAGTATAGCCCTCCTACAAAGAACAGGGGGGACACAGTCCAGATTATTCATAAATTCCTTGAGGACCAGAGTCCGGCAAAAAGTCCACCGTGATTTACCACTTTCCCATACTGTCCACAGTGTCTTCGGACTCATCAGAGTGCTTCTCCACTAAGATCTTTCCTCTCTGAACTTTCTCTTCTGCCCCAATTCCCAAATTTTTTTTTCCTGGGGTTCTGTATCTACTGCCTGTGAGACCTCTTCTCTTGGCTGTCTCCCCTGCCCATATAGCTCCATCCCTTATGCACCCCATCTTTTCCCTCCATCCTCTCAACTGCAGCTCCTCAGGGCTCTTGAATCCAATCTCTAACCTCTCTTGGGAATATTTTAATAACCTTCTCTATCAGGACCCCAAAAAGATTGGGGTTGCCTAACAGGGACTATAAGGAGCTGTCTTCAAAGTCTAAGCTATTATCATGTGGCACAGAGCTCAGAATCATCAGTGGAATTCAATTAGGCACGCTCAGTCCCAGCTCCTCTTACTTATCCTGGTCTGAAATCAGCCTCTTTCCCCCCTTCAGAGCTCTGGGCTCACTAGGGTCACTCTTTTAAATAACAAACCAAGCAGCCACATCATTTAGCCACAGCAGGAAATCTTTGCAAATAAAATTGTTGCAAATGGTTGGTTGTTTTATGAGGATGACTTTTTCCTTGGCCTGCTGCTCATGTCTCTGCAGCAGCAGCAGTGGGAAGAAGCCTCCTCGGGAGGTATCTGGGAATGACCCAGCCCCAGGATGACACCAGGCATACAGAGTCAGGAAATGGCTTCTCCTGTCACTTTCCTTAAAACCCAGAAACATGAATAGGCCCTGTCCTCCTAAGGGGTGGTGAAGCTCTCCTTTATACCTGACCAAACTGGCTTTCTTTCCATGTGAGGGAGGTTGATAAATCTAGATTTAGGGGACAGGGAGCGGAGGTTCTGTGTTACTGCCGAAACCCAAAGAGAGACACACGTTGGAAGTGATTCACTTGTTAGTTACCGAAGGAAGTGTTGTAAGCATTCTCAGAGAGGATCCTTGAAATGAACATTATTTATCAGGTGTCAATCCAAATTCCTGACTGATAACTTCTTAGTTCCTTGGAACTTGGCCAGATATGGTTTGGGTGACTATCTCCAGATGGATTCTAGGCTGCTGGACAAGGCTTTTTAACAGGTTGCGAGAGAAGTACAGAAACACAGTTAAATTGGAATTTTAGATAAACAGCAGCTAATTCTCTTCGCAAAAATCTGTTCCCAAATATTGCATGGGACATACTGATTCTAAAAGATAACTTGTTTATCTGAAATTCAAATTTAACAGGGCTCCTGTATTTTTCTTTCTTTCTTTCTTTCTTTCTTTCTTTCTTTCTTTCTTTCTTTCTTTCTTTCTTTTTTGTACACTAATAAGAATTAATTTTCTTTTGGGACTTTGTAGCATTCATATATGCCTTATTAGTAAATGTAGTACAGTGCTTCATACTGTTGCCCAAGACATGCTGAGAGAGAATTTTCTTCCAACTGGGAACTTTATTTGATTGAAAGAATTGAATAATTTCTTCTGTCATGTATTGTCTAAGTGAAGGA